ATATTTTCTTGAAACCCAAACTTTCTTATTGTACTATCAAACTTCAAATACCACTGTCTTGAAGCTTGTTTTAATCTGTAAATAGATTTCTTCAGGCGGCATCCCATGCGTTCTTTTCCTTCCACAACAAAACATTTCGGTTGTGCCATGTAAACATTTTCTTCCAAATCCCCATTTAGGAATGTCGTCTTTACATCCATCTGATGTAATTCTAAATCATAATGTGCTACAAGCACTATTATGATTTTAAAAGAATCATTAAATGAGACTGGAGAAAATGTCACATTATAATCTATACCTTCTCTTTGCGTGGAGCCTTTCGCCACAAGTCGCGCTTTAAATCTTTCTATATTCCCTTTGGAGTCATGTTTAGTTTTGTAGACCCATTTACAATCTACTATTTTGACTCCTTTGAGAATTGTTTATAAGTCTCAAACATCGTTGGTTTTCATTAATTTCATTTCATCTTCCATGGCTTCAAGCCACTTAGATGAGTGAGCGCTTCTCATGGCTTCTTCAAATGAGGTGGGATCACCCTTCATTTAAAATTCCTCACATTCATAAACTTCATAATTATCAGGAATGACTGATCTCCTGAGTCTTTGAGACCTTCTAGGGGCCTCGTTAGATGACACTTATTCTATATGAGGCAGTTGTTTCTCTCCCTCATGTGTGACAACGGGTTCTAGGGGGTCATAAAGGACATGTTCCTCATATTCATTCATTGTTGCCACAAGAGAACTAACAACAGGTGCTGTTACTACAGTTTCTTGCACTGTTGGTACAACAACAGCAGGTAGCGTGAAGAATGGCTCCTGAACCATAGGAGTGGCCATGTATACCCGCTTCTCTTCAAAACTAATTTCTCGCGCTACCATGCTCCCCATATCATCCTCCAAGAAGACAGCATGTCTTGTTTCTACAAACTTCGTTTGTCTGTCAGGACAATAGAAGCGATAACCTTTTGACTTTTCTGGATAGCCAATGAAATGGCAATTGATTGTCTTAGAGTCTAGCTTCCCTATGTTTGGGTTAAAAACTTTTGCCTCATCTGGACAACCCCACACACGTAAATAGTTAAGTGAGGGTTCCTTTCCTGTCCACAACTCATACGGTATTTGGGCACTTACTTTCTTGGTACTCGATTAAGTATATGAATGACGGTTTTTAACGCCTCAATCCATAAACTTATCGGTAAGGTAGAGTAACTTATCATGCTTCTCACCATATCCATTAAGGTATGGTTGCGTCTTTCAGCTACTCCATTCTGCTGAGGCTCGCCCGGTATAGAATATTAGGCTACTATGCTATTTTTCTATAAGAACCTTACAAAGGGTCTAGGAACTTGGCCATATGGGGTGTGTCGACCGTAGTACTCTCCCCCATGGTCGAACCTTACTACCTTAATCTTTAAGTTGTGCTGATTTTCTACTTCAGCCTTAAATATCTTAAATTTATCCAATGCTTCCGATCTTTCTTTAATTGAATAAATATAGCCAAAACAAGAATAGTCATCTGTGAATGTTAGAAATGAATTATAACCATCCACACTCTTCATAGGAAAAGGACCACAGATGTCTGTGTGAACTATTTCTAAGATTTCTGCGCTTCGTTTGACATCTTTCTTTATTTTCTTAACACACTTTTCTTTTATGCAATCTATGCATTGTTCTAAATCTAAAAATTTTAAAGACGGAAGAATTGATTTCTTAATCAATCACTCTATTCCTCCCTCGAAATATGGCCTAAACGACAGTGCTATAATTTCGATGATATATCATGAACTCTCTTTCGCTTATTACTTGTATTCATAGACGAGGAGACATTCCCATGCTCATTGCTCACATCATTCACATTCTCAGAAAGTGATAATAAATAAAGCTTATCTTGGCGGAAGACAAGACCAACACACTTATTATTAATCACAATCCGACATTACCATTACCAAAATGGCAATCATATCCATCATCATCTAATCATGAGATACTTATCAAGTTTCTACGTAAAGAGGGTACATAAAGAATATATGAAAGTTGAAGTCTAAAACCATCATCTAATTCTAGAGAAAGATCTCCTATGGCTTCAACTTCAGCTTCAACTCTATTTGCTACTTTAATTCTTCTTTATCCTCTTTGTAGGTTTTCTCCTCATATAGAATCCCTGTAATGAATTTGTAACATGAACAGTTGCACCTGAATCAATCCACCAAGTAGATTTTGCATAACTTAAATACAATGATTCATCTATGAATGTTATAAAATCCTCACCTCTCTTCAGAAGGTTCTTCAGGAAGTCTGGACAGTCCCTCTGGTAATGTCCATGCTTCTTGTACCATTTACACTGATTCTTCTTAACTTGAGCATTGTTGTTCTTCGAATGGTGGTCATTCTGAGGGGCTTTCCTTTAAGGTTTGGCATTCTTATTAAAATTTTTCTTTTTGTTTTCCTTCACAAGGTTAGCAGAGTTACCCTGTGAGCTTTTTAGCCTCTCATCTTCTTGAACACACATTGCGATGAGCTTCTCTATATCCCACTTATCGGGCTACATGTTGTAGTTAACAACAAAAGTTTCATATTCCTTTAGCAAGGAAGCAAAAACCAAATGAATTAGAAACTCATCATTGAGCCCCAAATTCATTGGCTTCAGCTTCGATTCTGTGTTGCTCATCTTCAGTATGTGCTCTCTGATACCGCCACTAGTGTATTTTTCAGTGAACAGTTTCTTGATCAAAGTACTGGCATAAGCCTTTGAAGAGCCAGTGAACTGACTCTCCACTTTCTTAAGATACTCTGTGGCGGTATCACAATCTGGGATAGACCCTCTTATTGCATCTGAAATTGTGGACTTAGCCACCATCAAGCACTTGTGGTTTGAAATGTCTCATTTCTTGCGTTCGAGATCATACTTCATCTGCACTTCTGCATGATCTTGCTGTCGAGCAGTGAAATCAGCATCAGTCTCATTATCTTCCCTCACTGGGTCCACTAGCTCAGTCGGACACGGGAAGATAAGCGCTAGATCATTTTTAGACAGCGTAAGTGCTAGTTCATACTTCTCTCGCCATACCCTGTTGTTGCCCCTTTAAAGAAGCGGTATGTGTGAGATAAAAGTCATTGGGTTGAGTCCTGAAAAACACCGTCAGAGATAGTGAGAAAATATGACATCATAATTGCATGCTTTAATTTAACGTTGGTCAAAATTAAAACATACAACATTCTTATACACTAATTCTACATCACCGTTGGACATAAATAGAATTAATGCATGAAAAATTTATAAATAAACATTATAATATTGTTATCATCAACATTGGTCAGAAAATAACAATACGATAATTTAACTTAAGCAAATATGACTACTCCTCCAATTAAATTTTTTCCGTTGGTTCAAAAATTAATCAGAGGATAAACTGATCATTGCAACGAAAAACTCATACTTAATTGGTGAATTTTACCCATAGAAAAATTTTCTTTACTAATTTTATTTGAGCCATTAATCAAATACTAGGAAAAGAATAAATTCTCTGAAATTTAGAAAATGAAAAAGGGCTCAAAGCATCACTGTTTACTCGGCCCAAGCAGCAAAGCGGCCCACATCTCCCTACCAGGCCGTAACTTGGGCCTGGGCCGAGAAAGTGGCCTGCTCCTCGCACCCGCCTAGGCCAAAATTTGGCCCGTTCGCTCTGCACCGTCCATATCATATTGACGGTCGAGCGCGCTCCTCGGTGGAACAAAACGGCACGCGGCGCCTCTCCCCGGAACCCTAGGCTCATTGTGTCTTCCTCCCCTTCCTCTCTCAGTGCAGTGAGCAGCAGCCACCGTCCCCTTCCTCTCTCAGCGTAGTGAGCTGCAGCCACCGAGCGAGAGCTGAGAGGTGATGGCGCCATCGCCGGCCCCCTCACCGGTGCGCACGCTCCCCATCGGGTGAGTGCGCCACCGTCGAGCGCCTAGCCGCGGCGCCCTTGGCCAGAGCTCGCGCAAGCCCGACGAGCAGCAGCGGCTCGGCCTCCTTCTCGCGCACCGACGAGACGGTAGCACGGTGCAACAGCAAGGTAAGCCGTCTCCCAAGCCCTTCCCCTTTCCCCTTCTTCTCTCTGATTAGATCTTGTCCGATTGGGGGTTAAGGTTAGGGTTAAGTCAAGTTAGGGTTGGGGTTTGAGTACTGTTCTTCTTTCCTCGAGTTGTCTATGTGGGTTAAGGTTAGGGTTTGAGTACTTTTTCAAAACCGAGACCCTTTCTTACTCATTTTCTTCACCCGATTTGGGTTTAGGGTTCGGTGAACCCTCTACTTAGATCTAAATTGGATCTCTCACCTCCTTCTAATTGCTGCTACTCGATTTTTACCCCGATAAGCTAAATCTACGCCTAGTTAGGCGATTGATACCATTGATAGACTATTACAGGATCAATTAGCCATAGATCTAGCATGCGTACTTATATTTGGAGTAACTAGCGAGTCCTAGAACATGTACCCCTAGGAGATTAACATATAGTGAGAGAGAGATAGGGGTTGAGGAGGTGCAAACCATCAGCCGCCTTCATAGAAGATGAGCTGGCATGGGGTTACTTGATGGTGGCATTGTGATGCCCGGTGGTGAAGGCGCTGTCATGGTGGCGACGGTGCAGAGGCGGCGCTGGCCGGTGGTGGAGCTTCCCGTCGCTGGCAACGCCCCCTCTCTAGATTGGCTAGGGTTTAGGGACTGTAAGTGGGGCGTCTGGCCGCTCATGTGAATCTCGTGTCTTGTGCCCCAGCCCCCACCTCACTTTTTATGGCGCTGTACTATGGGGCCCACCAACCATGGAACGGTTGGGTGCTCCCGATCAGGGTGCGGATCCAAGGGCCAATTAACAGTTGGACCAATGAGTGGAGATCATCTGACATACAGAACGCGGGTCACGGACGGCGCGGGCGAGTCGGAGAACAAGGCCAGCTGATCAATCTACGAAAAAAGCACACACCGTTGGAAACCAACACCTAACTTCACAGCCATAGCCTGCACATCACGAATGCACCTGCCGCTGCAGGCCCTCGGAGTCGACACAGAAGTCGCTAGAAGGGCCCTCGTCATCATTGGAGACGGGGAAGCCGGCAAACTGCTCCATCGCCCGCCGCACCGCTGCGACATCGTGGCCAGCGGCGGCGCTGATGCCAAGGAGGAACGCGAGGAGGATGAGGCACGACGCGGCGGTCGGCTTGGACGGCATGCTTCGTCTTTTGGCTAGGCTGCTCTGCTGGGTTCGATGGGACAGACAGGGGGCAGGGGCTACTTCGTGGGGCTAGGGAGATTTGAACGGCGAGCGAGGGAGGTGGTGGGAGTGGGAGACGACGCGATGTCACTACCACTGATGCTATTGGAGTGTTTGGTGGTGGTCACCTAACCTGACTCCGTGCCGACGAGGAAGACGACACGACGGTGGTGGCTGCTTCCTCACAACCACGAGCAATATCCTATTTTATTTTCCTTAAAAAGCAGATTCACGAGTGGAGCTACGGTGCGGGCCAGTTCGAATTCTTTGTGGACGATCGCCTACGTGTGCAACTGCACCCTGTGCGTGCAGGTGTTCGTTTGTGGTTTTGTGCAAATAATCTGTTCTGCCCTGCTGGGAATATGATGGAGCAGAGGATCCTTTGGCCCTCCAAGATTCGGTTCCGTGGGACCCACATATCAGGGTTTGGCCCAAAAGCGGCCCGTGGAGAGAAACACTAAGAAGAGCCAAAGTATTCTCGGCCCATGGGCCGCGCGCACGACAGGACAAGTAAACGCAAGGCCGCGGCCAGCTTAAAATCAAGGGGAAATTCCCTGTGAGCCATTAAAAAAAGATCACAATTTCTTATGAGTCACTAGAAAAGTTCAGTGGTCTTCAACGCTACTGCTCCAACTTTTTTTTGCCCTTCATACCACTGCCATTAGATTGGGCCCTAATAGTGTCAAAATTGCTGAGATGTGAAAAGTCGAAAATACCCTTAAGTCTAAATATATCATTAATTTTTTGAGCATCTTAACGACTTCAAATGGAAAAACTCAAAACTAGAAAGTTGTAGATCTCGTCGAGATCTATAATTTTCATATAAAAATTATTTTCTTTTAATACCGCAAAAATATGATTTTTCTAAGATATATTAATCATATAAAATCATATCTTCATTTAATCATAATTTTTTTGCGTTATTAAAAGAAGATAATTTTTATATAAAAATTATAGATCTCGACGAGATCTACAACTTTCTAGTTTTGAGTTTTTTCATTTGAAGTCGTTAAGATGCTAAAAAAATTAATAACATATTTAGACTTAAGAGTATTTTCGACTTTTCACACCTACAGTTGACACCGTTAGGGCCTATGTTCTACCGTTAGGGCCTATGTTCTGCCCAGCTGGAGCAGAGGATCCTTTGGCCCCTCAGTATCGGGTTTCATGGGACCCACGTATCAGGGTTTGGCCCAAAAGCGGCCCGTGGAGAGAAACACTAAGAAAAGCCCAAGTATTCTGGGCCCATGGGCCGTGCGCACGGCAGGACAAGTAAATGCAAGGTCGCGTCCAGCTTAAAATCAAGGGAGAATTCTCTATAAGCTATTAAAAAAGATCGCAATCCCCTGTGAGTCATTGGAAAAGTTCAGTGGTTTTCAGTGCTGCTGCTTCAACTTTTTTTTACCCTCCATGCCACTGCCGTTAGATTGAGTCATAACGGTGTCCAACTGCAGATGTGAAAAATCAAAAATACCTTTAAGTCTAAATATGTCATTAATTTTTTTGAGCATCTTAACGACTTTAAATGAAAAAACTCAAAACTAAAAAGTTATAGATCTCGTCGAGATCTATAATTTTCATATAAAAATTATCTTCTTTTAATACCAACAAAAAAATGATTTTTCTTAGATATATTAATCATATTAAATCATATCTTCATTTAAACATAACTTTTTTGCGTTATTAAAAGAAGATAATTTTTATATGAAAATTATAGATTTCGATGAGATTTACAACTTTCTAATTTTAAGTTTTTTTTCCATTTGAAGTCGTTAAGATGCTAAAAAAAATTTAATAACATATTTAGACTTAAGGGTATTTTTGACTTTTCACACCTGCAGTTTGACACCGTTAGGGCCTAATCTGACTAACGCAGTGATATGAAGAAAAAAAAAGTTAGAAGAAGATCGCTGAATTTTTTTCCGGTGGCTCATATGATATTACGATTTTTATTTTATGGCTCACAGGGAATTCATCCTAAAATCAAAACCGAGTCGCACGAGCACACCCTCGCGTATCCGGACAAGTCCCGTGCTCTCCCGGCTCAAAACCCTCCCGTCCTACTCCGGCGGCGGCGGCCGGGCGTGTTCTCCGGCAAGGTCTCCCCCTACTCACGAGGTTCGCGCTCACTCTTCCTCCTAACCAGTCCCTTTTCATTCGTATGCGGTTCCGTGCTCGCGCGGCAGCCCTAGCGAGCGGCGAAGAGCTCCGAGGTTCGCAACTAGGGTTTGAGTGCGCGCGCAGTACCCATGTGCTCGTGCGCGTAGTCTGTCCTGCTTGATGGATGCGACTGCGTATGGGCGTTTGGATCGATTTGTGTGCGCCCGTTTGGGGTCTCATGGTGTGAGCTCACTGCTCTGCTGCTGATTAGGGTTTGCTGTCTGTGCTCTTTCCCGTCTTCTAGTTGCCGAGGCGTTCGCGTTTGTGCTGTTCCGGGATTGGGATTGGCGGATCTGCGCGGGGAATGTGTTTTGTGGTGTGCGGTGGAACGAGCTCTAGTAAATTTGGGTACTAAAATTGTGTGGTTATTAGTTCAGCTGGTTTTGTGTGGTGCCTACACTGCCTTAGCCTTTTCTTCTACTCTTTTGACTCCTGCAGAGCTCATATTCGAGAGCTACTATGCATCTGTATAGTTAACTTGAGCTTGGTTGCTTGTTTTTTTCCAGAAAATATGGATGGACCTGTTGATGACCCTGTGGAGAACAACCTCACCGGAAGTCCTAGTACCCTTGGCAATGAGGAAGAAGCCAATACTTATACTGATGTGCAAGTCAAGGAGGAACCAGAAAAGCTCTATGACGAGGAATCCAAGGACCCAATGCAAGACGAGTTGGGTAACCAAGAGCATGCGAACATGAACAATGAAGATGTGGGAGGTCAGAACAAAGAGGACCAAGCTACCCCCACAGAGCACGGTGAGGAAGCTGGAGTGAAGCAGCAGGATGCTACAGTTCCTGATGACAAGAAGTGGCCTGGGTGGCCTGGAGAGAGTGTGTTCCGTATACTGGTTCCTACCACAAAGGTGGGTGCTGTCATTGGGCGCAAAGGGGATTTCATCAAGAAAATGTGTGAGGAATCCAGAGCTCGCATCAAGGTTCTTGAGGGACCACCAGCTGTGCCAGAAAGAGCGGTAAGTCTTTCACTCTCTTCTTTAACTGGTTGCATTGCTAATACAAATGATTTCTCAGTCAGTATGCCATGTGCGAAGATCATTTTACTTGTTGCCTACACCGATAAGTATGCTATAATGTTACTTTAAAAGACCTAGATTAGACATGTATATAGTTTGTAGCATATTGGTGATTAATTTCTTTTTAGACGTGTTGAAGATTGAATCAGCTAGGAAATGTTTCCAAGCATATAAATTGCTATTATATTTCCCTGACCACTGATACTATGCATTCTATCAATTGATGCTTCGTGAACATGGTTATTTATCGATCTACAATAGTTTAGTTGTTAGTGTGTGTATATTATCTGGAAGTTCTTGAGTTGACTTTAACAATGTAAACTGTTATTTAGTCGTGAAAGCCTTGTTGAATATGGAAAACTTGCTGCAAGTTGTAGAAATGAATAGGAACTAGTAATTGAAATTTTGTATTGTACAATGTAATTTGACATACATCTGCAGCCTCCTTTCTGAAGTGTATGCTCTTCTAAACATTTTTTTAGAAGTTCAAACTGTTTAGCTTAGCAATCAGGTGCATATAGTGCTCCTGATAACTGGACTCCTGTCGTCATATTAACTCCAGTGCAATTTTATATTAAGATGAGATTTGATCATCCAAGTTACTACACTGAAAGTTGTATACTAGTAAAAAATGAGTATCTGCCCATAGATAATGGCTATGTGCTTGGAGTAAATAGTTTATAAAAAAATTGAACATAGATTTCAAGATAATAAGTGAAATCCGTTTTAAAGTTTGCAGTGGAAATAATTATGCATAATTTTGGATTTTTTTACAATGATCACAAAACTATTGGATGCAACCAAATGACAGGGAAAAGAATCTCTCTTCTGTAAGAAGTATGACTATAATTGACGATCAGACAGAAATAGTAGCTTGGCCAAATTATACATCATTCTAAAGATATATATTGTATACGCTAGTGAATTATCAATAATGTTGGATGTCTGCATGGATCAAATAGTTATGATTGCATACATGAATGTCCTCCATTCTAAAAGAAGATCGAATCAGTTATCAAATGGTACACTGATTTTGACCAACTCAGTAGTTATTTATGTGAATGCGGACTAAAACAAAATACTATGACATGGTTCTTTGGTTAACTGTATATTATGAGGCCTGTTAACACATATTCTTGATGCTAACTCTAAAAGTTAGCGCGCAAATAAAGGCACTCAAACTAACAAGGAACAGATTATAAGCAAAATGGCTTTCAAGCACGGAACATAGTAGTTTTGTCAAAAATAACAAACTAATCTTTGCAGGTTCTTACTGCTGTCTAAGGCCTCAAGTTGAGTCGTTTGTATATCCAAATTCCAAAATAGACGTACAATCATGGTTACCAAAGTACAGTCTTGTGCTCCTCTGCTGCACATGTGATTTAAGTCTTTTGAATATTGGATGAAGATCCCTGTGAAGAAGCTGCATATATTGTCGGGTAATTCCATGACCTGTTTGCTTTGACCAAAAAGGCATCAGTTAGTTAACAATGGAAGACTAAAAGATTGCACAGAACCTTAATTTTAAGTCCTAATAATTTCCTAATTAATGCTCTGATACTTTTATAAAGAAATGAGAACTGCAAACAAAGAATATGAATATATAGTTTTCAACTCGATGCTTGCTCTTATATTTTGGGGGAATTGGTTTTGCTGAACCAATATTGTAACGTAACATTATCGTTTGTTAATGTCATCAAACAATACGTTACACTGACTAAATAGATCTATTGTTTTTTGGGGATTAAGAATTGCATATATGATAAAATAAACATTCAAATTGAAAGTAGATTGCCTGTATCCGAAATACCATTATACATACCCATAGAAGCAATAGTCTTGACACATGTACAATAGTTAAGGAAAACTATTGATGCAGTTAAGGACATGTCTGTTGCTTTAACCAGGGGGCATTGCCTCAGGTATCTTGGTGAGTGACTGCATGCAAATATGTATGTTTGTCTGAGAAATTGTAGTTGATACCCACCTAATCGTGTATAAATATAACCATTACCATTTCGTCTACCTACCGCAGGATGGAAATATTGCCCTTATACCAGTATTTCCTTTCATAAGTCTTTGTGCATGTTGCTATAAACTAATCTTTTCTGTCTAATATACTTTTGTTCCTACTTGCTGAGATCTTTGATACTGCTTTCCTGTTTGAAGGTAATGATTTCAGCAAAGGATGAACCAAACACAGTGCTACCTCCAGCTATTGATGGGTTGCTTAGAGTTCATAAAAGGATAACAGATGGTTTAGATGGTGAAACTGATCAGCCTCAACGAGCTACTGTCACCGCTGGGCCGACAAGGCTGCTGGTCCCGGCGTCCCAAGCTGGCAGCCTGATTGGGAAGCAAGGAGCAACTATTAAATCAATACAGGATGCTTCAAAGTGCGTTCTCCGGATTGTTGGTAAGATTTTACATTTTTCCCTGCGTTGACTTTGTTACGGCAAGGCTTTATGATCTCATGTCCTGGCAGTCCTGCTGATAATACGGATTTCTATAGTTTTTTGCAATTCCTTTTGATAGCCAAGGATGAATCCGTAGATGGCAAATGTGTGTGGGTTATTTGTTCTAGGAGTACTGTCTGCTTTCACATGAAATGTATTTTTGCACATTGATTTGTGCACTTAGTTACTAGATATTGATGTTTTGATGATCTTTGATAAGCGGACTTGACAAATTGACCGATTAGTTTACCTGTTACATTTGTGCATGCATGTGTATCTGTGACAGAAGTCAGCCTTAGAATTCCACTCTTCTGAACTGATAGATGTTCTGTGGAGTATGATTTAATTAACCACATCCAAAGGTGTAGCATTTGCTGCTCCCCTTTGCTTTATAGGCTATCTAATCTTTTATTTTTATTTTTTTAGTATTTTCTTTCTGGATCATGTTTGATCATTTGTACTTTCTACCCTTACTTCTGCAAGTAATTTCACTGGAATCCCCGCATTGCATATATTTGCATGGTACATCAGCCATTTCACTAATATACTATTTTTCCATCAGAGAATGTTCCACCTGTTGCATTAAATGATGACAGAGTTGTAGAGATACAGGGTGAACCTCTTGATGCTCACAAAGCCGTGGAACTGATTGCAAGCCATTTAAGAAAATTTCTTGTTGACCGCAGTGTCCTCCCTTTGTTTGAAACACAGGCAAGTTGTATTCTACTATACAGCATATCAGTTACTTGCATGAAGTATTTGGTAATCATAAAACATAAATTTCCTTGACAGATGAAAGCGCACAATGTGCACAGAGAGCAACCTATGCCTCCTCCACAGGCATGGGGCCCCCCTCCGCCCTCACCCTGGGGTCATCCACCACCAAACCTTCCTCCTGGTGGCCCAGGTTATGGTGGGAACCCTCAGTACATGCCTCCACCTCCACGGCCACAAGAGAGCTATTATCCTCCTCCTGATGTGCGCCCTGTAGAAAAGCAACCACATTATGGAATTTCTTCATATGGACGCGATGCACCTCCGAGTGCTCCCCCAGGGAATCAAAACCAAGCACATGGGTCTTCTCAGGTCAGTTTCTACACATTTGACTGCTATTAATATGATGAATTATTTGCATGCCTATCTCATGATCAGTTGTACTTACCTTTTTTTTTGTGATTTTATATGTCAGGTGACACACAGCATGGAAGTTCCTCTTTCCTATGCTGATGCTGTGATAGGGTCAGCTGGTGCCAGTATCAGCTACATCCGCAGGCATAGTGGAGCAACTATAAGTATTCAAGAAGGTGCTCCTGGGGAGATGACAGTGGAGATAACAGGAAGTGCTTCACAAGTACAAACTGCTCAACAGCTAATCAAGGTACTTTTCCTCCTTATTAAAGTGCATCAGCAATTTGGTTAACACATATGATATTGCTACAATCCATTTCCAACCTTCTGATATTGTCGCACTTCACTAAATCGATGCCACCTCTCCAACCAAGTATACTCTGCCAATAGTTGGATGCTTCCTGGATTGGTACAATGCTTGGGGGATACACAACTATCGCATGAATAGGACCAGATGTACCATATGTTACATATAGTGCATTGTGAAAAGACCTGTCATCTATCTTGTTACTTTAACCAGCATAGATGCTTGTTGTCATTTTCCAAGGTCAATAATCTTCACATGTCACCGGCTTAATCTGCCATCACGTCACTGGCCGCCAATGTTGGGAGTTACCATGCTGCCCCACTGGGAGTACTTAGCATAGATGACCTTTTCATTTGGTTGGCATGTTCTCTGTCCATCACACTCTTATGTTTTCCATTAACTGATTCGTGATATTATCCTCTTGCAGAATTTCATGGCTGAAGCCTCTCCCCAGGGACCACCAGCTCCAGCTCCACCCGCTCAACCAATGGACACAGGTTACAGCTCGTATCCACCTTACGGTGGAGCATCATATGGGTCTCCTCCCGGCGCGCCAGCTCCAGCGCCTCACAACGGCGGAAGCTATGGCGCTGGACCATACCCGCCGAGCTATGGATACTAATCTGGAGCAAGAGCTTGCTTCAGACTTAGGGAAGGAGGGGGTTATGTTCTGGGTTTGCTAGTCTGTTATTCTGTTGAGAAATCAAGCTCGTTAGTACTTCTGAACTTACTTTTGGTGTTGTAAGCTGTTTTCTGACGCCAGTGCCGATTCTTCCCTTGATACTCTCTTTGCTCTATGGTTGCTGAATTTATCTTTAACCTAATATTTTAATATTCAAGAGAAAAAAAAATCAAGACTCCAATGTTATTTTTTCCTCTGTGCGGGGATTGAAAGAACTTACTAGCTTAGTTTGTTAGTGGTGTCATGTTGCCTGCCACTTCGTGTCACAGATCACAGGACACAAGTCCTGATTGCTCTCTTATGAGCGCATCACGCTCAATATTGGAAAAAACGTGTGATGAGATCAATATTCGAGAACGTGTAATGAGAAGACAAAAAAAAAAAAAAAAAAAGGTGATGGCGCGATGCATAACTAATAACTGGGTAAAGACCTACCCAAAATGAAATGAAATAACGGACCTCCAACAGTTGGCCGGGCTGTGGCCACGCCCAGCCAGCTGCGGCCTGTATCCTGTAGGTAAGGTTGGAAAGCCATTTTAGGCTCCGTTCGTTTCTTTGGGAACGGGTCGTTCCGGCGGTCGTTCGGGTGGAACGGAGCCATCCGTATTGAAAACTGGTGTATACTGGCAAGGAACAAAACCTGGTCGGACTGCTGCCGAACAGCCCCTTAACTTCGGAGAAGCACAAAAATCTGTTCCCTACTTTTTTTGACCACTTGGAATGATCAATGATTAAACAGGTAGGTTCAATATTTTTTTGACCACTTGGAATGATCAATGATTAAACAGGTAGGTTCAATATTTTTTTTTGTCTTCTCATTACACGTTCTCGAATATTGATCTCTGATGTGGCTATATAGCCTAAAGCTGGACTAACCTATAAATCTGTCATGGAAATGGAATTCACGTGCTCAGTTTGGAGATTATTAGGTGCTACGGTACATCATAGTGCTAATCTACTCCCTCCGTTTTTTATTTGATGTTTTATTAGCTTTGTTCTAAGTCATTTGATTTCAAAAAAATTATATAGATCCATATCATAAGATTTATATTTTTAAATTTACTATGAGTAATACTTTCATAATATATAATTCATATCTTGTAAAACTATAAGATTTTTTTAAAATAGTTGATCAAAGATAATAATATTCGACTTATGATAAAACTAGCGTGACATGTAAAAAAAGGAGTAGGTTCTAGCCTTTCGTTTTAAAGGCCTTATACCTGAAGCGCGGCTATCAACGCGTAGACGGATTTGAGTCATTTTTAATCTGGATTTTCTACAAGTTTGCACCCAAGGCTTGACTTGTGCGAAACTGCTACCGACCCCAATTGACGTCCTTTTAGTGGACTGTGGGCCCCAAGCTCAGACTTTGGCGGCACGTTATTGGAAAACTTAGACCCAAAGCACTATAGGATAGGACTGCTAAGGACAACAATTATTTTTGTGATCACTGGCCACTGCTCGCTTAAGTAGAGGCATGCAACGCCCCACAGGGGCACATTCTATTTCTTGCAAAACACACACACACACATATATATATATATATATATATATATTAGAACTACTACCCTGTAGCTGGCTATAAAATAACTTATTCTGTAGCCGCTTTGAGTTACGATAATTACTATGTTAATTTACGAGATTATAGTAACTCCTTGCTAAGTGGTTTACTATAACATTATGGTAAATATCCCCATGTGTTATAGTAACCTAACTATCGTAAATATGTATTGACATTATCGTAAATTAGTATATAAAATTATCGTAAATGGAGGTGGCTACATAATAACTTATTTTGTAGCTGGCTAGAAAAAGTGAGCCACCGGTTCTGGTACAAGATACTATCATTACCTGCCTGGACAATTAGACAGCCAACCCGTAATCGCAAGGACCCAATTACAAGAGTAGAGCTCTACCAACTAAGCTATCCCCCCCAAGCCAAGTGGAGTATACATGAAAGAGTCAGATGCTTCTTCTATTCTTTTCCCTGGCACAGCTGAGCCATCCTGGACTTAGCCAGCTACAAAATAAGTTATTCTATAGCCACCTCCATTTATGATAATTTTATATACTAATTTACGATAATATCAATACATATTTACGATAGTTGGGTTACTATAACACATGGGGATATTTACCATAACGTTATAGTAAACCACTTAGTAAGGAGTTACTATAATCTCGTAAATTAACATAGTAATTAGCGTAACTCAATGTGGCCACATAATAAGTTATTTTGTAGCTAGCTACATGGTAGTAGTTCTATATATATATATGTATGCTATAGAGAGCTTAGGGCTTCTAATACTTACAGGAAGCCCAAGCCTAAACTGGAGTTTTCTGGGTCCACCAAACCAGGTTCCACTCCACCTTCCCAGGCCCTATATATTCTCAAAACCCTAATCCCCACCTATCCATCCTGGCCGCCACCCTTGCCACTCGCCGCCACCACCCTGGAGCGCGGCTCACCGTCCCGACCCACAGGTCGCTCGTTACCAATTGGCGGCGTGGCCCCACCCCTTCCCCGGCGTGCGGCTCCCTTCCCACGGCGGCGCGCGCGACCTTCTCCCCCCACGGCCGCATGCGCGGTGAGCCTCCCAGCTGCGACGGCGCCGACCCTACTCCCTCCCGACGGCGCGCGGCCTCTGTAGCAGAACCGACCAATTTATAAGAGCACAATGTAACACCCTCGGTGTTACACCGTAAATCATTTACTAAAACATATTATGAGCATCATGTTTATGTGTTAATACATGTGATAAAGTGTGTAGATCAATTTCTGTAACTCAAAACGATCAACTAAAATGCGAAACGAAAGTTGATTCGATAGTCATGTTATATCCCTTAGGGTTTAAAACCAATTTTTATTAAGCAAAAATGCTGTAGAACATATATGTGTCACCTTAATAAAGTTAGAAGTACAAACTTTGTAGATGACAGTGAAATACTTATGGTCCAAAAATGATATTACTAGCTAATATTTCAAATAGCTTAGAAATCGCAAATAGAAATCAAATTCAGCTCAAAAACTTAGAAATTTTCAAGTCTGCCAACAGTTTGACACTGCTATATTTAGCAGTTTATTGTAAGAGATTGGGTTAAGGAGTGTAGTGTTATGGCTCGATTTGGTAGTCTCATGTGCCATCTTGAGCATGGTGAAGACGGTTTAGGTTTAGGAGCAACCGTTTGGTTGTGTTGATCGCTTTAAAATTCGTGCGCGTTACCGGTTTCGGGCTGGTTGGTTGCGTGGCCGCGATCACCGCGCTAGGGCGCTCGGCGTCACCGCGTTGGTCACGCGTGCGCGTGCGCACGCTGCCACACGTGGCCGCCTCTGGCCTGGCCATGGCTCGGCTGCCGCTGGCCTGCCGTGCGGAGCCGCTACTGCTACCACTGGCACCGTCGTGTGAAGCCACTGCTGCTGCCACCTGCCCCGTTCCATGCTATGCTGCCATCGCGTCCGCCATAGCTCCTCGCGTCGCGACGCTGCCGTCGCATTGTCATCGCGTCCGCGCCGTTCCGCTGCATCTCTGTGCTGTTGCCGACCCTGTGCGTGTCGACTCTACCACACGCACGTGGGCGAGCCGTCGTCGCCATGCCATTTATGGCACTGCGGTGCACGGGCCACGCCGGTCGAATGCGGGTAGATGTTGTCCATAGCGCCGACGTGTGGGCCTCCCGAGCTCACCGCTCGCGTCCCGCCAAGGCAAGGACGAGCCGAGCCCACTGCCACACTCCATTTCTCTCTTTCTCTCTTTTCCCTCTGTTTCCACCGCCATCGTGTCGCGTCACAGTGAGCCCAAGAGCGAGCACCTCTTATCAATTCCTCGTGCTTGCGTCTCCGCCTTCATGTCCCCTCTCCAGCTGACCCCACCCCGCTTTGATTGCGGCTTGGCCGAGCTCTAATTTTGGAGCTTTGCCCGCCAACGTGCCGTTAAGGCCTGTCACCGCCCGCGTCGTGGCCAGCCTCCACCACTTCACCCCACGCTAATTCCTCTCCACCATTAGCTCGCTTTGGTTCCCTCTCCACCATGCACATGCCAGTGGGAGCGCTACCACCTCCCCGCAGCCGCTGACATGGTCATATCCATCGTGGTTCGTCGCCGCGCTCGTCGCGCGCACGTGGCCAGCACTGCACAGGTTATCGCCGGTCGAACCACCACTTCGACCTGGTTCGCGGGGTGCCCCTGGTGCTTATTCCCTATCTCTACCATCCAGTTAGCGCGGTGGCTCATCAGAACGCGGTTGCCACCGTTGTAGGTCGCCTGCCGCCGGGGAGAGCCCGCTCTGCTTCACCCCCGTCCATGCCACCACCGCCCATCGCTTCACGTCGAACCCTAGGTGAGCATCGGCCTCATAGATAGGTCAGCGTGGGTCTCGTGTGCCGGACACAAGCGCCAGTGCCACCGCTCGTCGCACCAGAGCGCGCGGGAAGGGCCCGGGGCCTTGCCGTTGTAAAGAGGAGAAAGATCTGAGGGTTACGTTGCAAAGTCGTTGTCTGTAGAAATAGTACGTGTAGTGTTCGCACTATTTTCTGATAACGCGAGGCCATTTTTGTTATTGTGCCAGCGCGCGCGGGCTTCCTCACCATGGGCCGCCTCACGTGCGTGGGCCGTTGCTGTGTGGGCCGCACCGCGGGCTGCCGTGCGCTCTCTCACGCGCGTGCTGCATCGTGTAACACCCTCGGTGTTACCGCTTAAACAACTTGCTAAACTTTATCATGAGCATCATGTTTATGTGTCAATGCATGTGATAAAGTGTGTAGATCAATTTTCGTAACTCAAAATGATCAACAAAAATGCTAAACGAAAGTTGATTCAATAGTCATGTTATATCACTTAGGGTTTAAAACAATTTTTATTAAGCAAAAATACTATAAAAGATGTATGTGACACTTAAATAAAGTTGGAAGTACAAACTTGGTAGATGCCAATGCAACT